TCTGATCTGCTCACCCTCTGCCCTTACCCCTCCTTCGTACCTTTTCTCCCCCAGGCGTGATGCCTGCTTCACATCTCTGATGAACACTCTGATGACGTCACTGCCCGCGCTAGTGCAGCAACAAGGGAGACTGCTTCTAGCTGCCAACGTGGCCACCTTGGGGCTTCTCATGGCCAGGCTCCTTAGCACTTCTCCAGGTAAGCCCTGGGGACCTAGGCCTGATGGGTAAGGGCAGAAGACTGGGATGCATCTGTTGGGTTCTGGGCATCAGTCCCCATTTTCAGAAAATGATTTTGCAAAATTTTCCCATCAAAAGAAATCTCTACAGTAGATCTCCATCCGCCACCCCCACCCTTCTTCCCAAAATGATAATATTCTCTTCCTTTTGAAGACTTTTAAGGCAAGGTCTGGTGGGTGTTAAGTACAGGCCTGTTCAGAGGCACAGGCACAGGCACCTGGAATCCCTGGCAGCCCAAGGACTCTGAATCCAGTGTTTGCAAGGTGGAGCCGCCCCCACCCAGGCCTTGAGTCAGAAACCTCACTTCCCTCCATTGAGCTTTTTCACTGCTCAGGCCTCAGCTGCCTCTCAACAGGCAGGCACCAGCACTTGGCCCTTGTGCATGTAGCTTCTCCCCAGCCCTGCCTCCCTTGATTGTGTACAGAGGGAATAGTGTCCCCTCCAGCCCCTGGCAGCCCTCAGTGTCTCCCACTTTGGCTGTGGGTGTCTGCTTGGGTCCCTGTGTCCCTGCCTGTTCCCTGTGCCCCATCTGTCAGGTTGGAGGAGCTGAGCAGATGCCCGGGAACAGGGTGTAACGTGCCCATACCCTCAGCTGCCTCTTTGTTTTCTGTGTGGGGATCCCAGCAGGGTACCCAGCAGTGGGAGGAGGGAGAGCCTGTCCCTGTGGACCAGAAACCCCCCACCCCACATCATCCTCACTCAGCCGGTGTCATGGTCCCAGTACTGGCTCACCCAGGTACAAATGCCTTCGGGCTTGCTGAGTAGCCTCCTAGAATGCTGTATGTAAAAGCCAGGCTCTGCTCACCTGCCCCCTCTGGCGCCCTCTTCTGGCCTTTGAGTCAAGCTGGTGCATCCTCAGCGTGGTGAAGGGCTCTAGGCCACTCCACTGCTGGGGTCCCTGCTGTGAGAACCCTGAAGGTGGTTGTCCCACATCTGACATGGCCTCACTCCCATTTCCTGTGCCTAGGAAGGTCTTGGTAATGGAGTGTACTGAGATTATTTCCTTTAATTCTTAACAAATTGCAAGACCCAGCCCAAGGTCGTTAGCAGTGTTGAACATAGGATTTGAACCCAGGCAGTCTGGTTCCAGGTGACGCTTCCACTCTCTGACTGTGTGTACAGGAGGGAAGGTGAGGGGCTGGCCCACAGCTCATGCCACTGCTCCTACTGTGCTTTTCAGCTCTTCAGGGAACCCCAGCATCCCGAGGTTTCTTCGCAGCCGCCATCCTCTTCCTATCGCAGTCCCATGTGGCGAGAGCCACGCCTGGCTCTGAGCAGGCAGTGCTGACCCTGTCCCCTGACTATGAGGGCATCTGGGCTGACCTGCAGGAGCTCTGGTTCCTGGGTATGCAGGCCTTCACAGGCTGCGTGCCGCTGCTACCTTGGCTGGCTCCTGCCGCTCTACGCTCCCGCTGGCCACAAGAGCTGCTCCAGCTGTTAGGCAGTGTCAGCCCCAACTCCGTCAAGCCTGAGATGGTGGCCGCCTATCAAGGTGTCCTGGTAGAACTGGCGCGGGCCAATCGGCTGTGCCGGGAGGCCATGAGGCTGCAGGCGGGTGAGGAAACGGCCAGCCACTACCGCATGGCCGCCTTGGAGCAGTGCCTGTCAGAGCCCTGAGCAGTGTCCACTGGGGACAGACCTGGGGGCGGGCAGTGAGGGAAGGAGGGAAGAGGCATCTTCCCTGAAGCCCCCAAACTGGATCCCCTTCCCCAGACTTCCCCCCCAAGCACCCCAGCTTTCTGGCTTTTCTGAGGGCAAGGGCATGGTGCCCACCACTCAAGTGTAAGGAACTGCATCCCGCCCCCAGGCCCCCATGGGGGCAGGGATGGGCTTGGAAATCAATGTGGTTGTCCCCGCCAGGCCGGGAAATGTTGGCGCAGCCCCCAGGGAGGGGGGCAGTAGGTGTCATTGTGCCCAATGTCTGGCTCCTCTGCAGGAGGAAGGTCCCAGAGTAGGACAGGGCTGGCAGAAGCTGACTGCCTTAGCCCATGTGCCCTGCCGGCCAGGGCGTGGCCTCCCTAGACTATGGTGCCCTTCTGGCTCCCCAGGTCCACGTCCTTTATATTGGCCATTTGGCTCTTGCCCTTGACCCTCTTGGGCAGAGCATAGGCTCAGGCCATTGACATCACAGTTCTTCCTTTAATTCCAGTGACCAGGATCTGAGCTGCCCTGTCCTTCCAGGGCAGCCTGGGGCAGACGAGCCCATGGTGGGTGGTGAACCTCCTTCCACCCGAGCTTCCTTGAGGGAACCCAAGAGTGCTTGGGCCCAAGTCTCTAAGCTTTTGTGTCATGTTGCAGCAGAGTGATGAGGGGGGTTGGGGGTTATTTATTTTGCTTGTCCTTATCCTTGCTTGGATGCCTGAGCATCTGATCCTTGTCCCCTTGATACCATCTGGCTGGAGCCAGGAACAAGAGGGACACCTCTCTAGAATCCGCATGTTTCCCCAATGATTGCACCCCATTGCTACCGTGGTGCCTGGCTTCAATTCCCACCCCTGCTGTGACTCCTCTCTGCAGAGAGACGCGACTGGCGGCTCCAGCAGGGACACCTTTCTCACAAACCTGGTCAGGAGGGCCCCCCCACCTGATCCCTTGCTTTCCCCCACTGTCCCCCAGTGCGTTCTGTGATCGCCAAGTTCAAAGCTGTGCAATGTGAACACTAAATAAATGTTCATCAGTGACAAAAAGCCTCCTGTGTGGTCTGCCCTACACCTGCTCCCTTTTTCTCAGGCTCCATCAGCTCATGACTACCATTTGCTGAACACACTTCCTGCAAAGCCCAGGGAATCTTGGGAAGAAGGGATATAAGTCCAGTTTTACAGGCTTAAGATGTTACAACTGGAGCCAGGCCTCCATGCGGGCCCTCAGCACCCACGCTCACACCCTCCACTGGTACAGCAGGTTCACAAACCCAGCTGGTGGTGTGGCTAGGCCTATAGGTGAGTCTTGGGGACAAAAGAAAACTCCCCGCTCTGATCAGCAGGTGGTTGTCAGACAGCACTGCCACAGCTCCCTCCCACCTCTGCCTCAGCAGGCCTGAACCAAAACTGTCAGGTTGGAACTAGACTAGCCCACGGCCAAGACCATCCACAGACTCCACGTATGCCTTTAAACCTGTAGCATTCACTCAGCATCTGATTGCCTACCTGTGGCTGGCTATACATAGCAGGAATATTCATTCACTTCCTGAATATAGGAAAGCCCACCTACTTAGTATGGATTCTCTGTGTTAAATAAGGACATAATGTACACCCCTTATTTAAGCAGCTTAAAATCTTGAGGAGAAACCGATAAGGCAACACAAAGTTAGAAGCAACAGCTTCTATGGAGATTCAGACAAAACGCAGTGAGCATGAAGGGCCTCAGTCTGGCTACGCAAATTCAGGGAAACTCCAGGCATCTTTGTGCTGAGACCCAAGAGCGAGGAGAGTGAGGCGTGAGTGAGTAACCAGGCAGAAGGATGGCAGGCGTATTCACCACAGTGCAGTGTGAGGTGGATCAGGAAGTCCATTGTGCTGTGCTCAGAAGCTTAGGTCCAGGGTCACGCTGTGGGGCCAGATTGCTGGTTTTTGAGCAGATTAACAAGGATATGGTTTGCATTTTAGAGAGATGATTGGCTGCAAAAGGAACCACTGAGGCAGGAGCATAGGAGGTAATAAGTCAGAACTAAGCTGGCAGCAGTGAGGATGGAAACATACAGCGAGGAGTTAGGTAAAAGCACTTGACAATTAGTCTGAAATGAAGAGGAACCAAGGGTGACTCCAGATTTCTGATCTGGGCCTTTGAGTGGGTAATGAACCATTCCCTGTCGTGGGGGATATCGAGAGAAGACAAATCTGTGAAAAATACATGCTGTTTGGTAAGTGGTAAATGTGTACTGCCTGCAGAATCTCCAAGGGATGGTTTGTGTCCTGTGGTCTGGAGCTCAGAGAGAGGTCTGAGCACATGACAAATTTAGGAGTTGTCAGTATAAAGGGTCTTTAGAGTCATAGGAACGATTGAGACAATCTGAAGAAGGGAAAGACCCCAGAGCAACTGCCCATGGCCCTTGCTATTAAGGTGCTCTGCCTTGGGCAGTGGAAGAGTGAAACCCAGCAAAGCCGGCTGAGTTCGCTACTTTAAGGATGTATGGCCAGCACATTCTGGGCTCTGGAGTGGGAGGAAACAGGCACACCTTTCCAGGCCAAGTTTGCTCCTGGTGAACCAGCTGAAAAGGGAAAAGGGACTATCTGAGCTGCAATTGTGTGATATAACCACGAGGTGGCGCCTTGGCATCTTGTACCAGACATTCCCTGCAAACACTCCCCAAGAGTCTTTGAGAAGACTGTCAAAAGCTGGGAGGAGGAAGGTGGCTCTGTCAACAATAAGGAGGCAGACTTAAGTTTTACTTAGCATGAAGTCCAAATCCAAGCTCACTTTTTGAAAAGAAGGAAAAAGATGTAGCTGAGAAAAAGCAATATGCCAAGAGGGAATTCATACATGTTTCAGCATATGCATCTGCTTGTCACTATATATCCTGTGCTTCTGTGTATACATGTGTTTCTCATGGATCTTTCTACACATGCAGTGTGCTCCATTTCCCAGGGGCCTCTGCATATGCATCCCTGTGCACATCCCAGGCCTCATATGTATGCCTGTGTCCCAGAAATCACCACCTCCCTGGCCTCAGAAAGTAAGGAGATACTTGGCCCTGAAAAGAAGGTCCTCTGAGCTGAAACCACAGAACTCTGTACCTTTGGGAAGTCCCAAAGGAGCTACGACCATGAAGAACATCCCAGCAGATGTAAGTGGAAACACTCATCGAATGATCTCAGATTATAGCTGGGTTCTATGTCTAGTTACTGAGGGCTGTGTTCACATACAACTTTTTGGAGGGGGGTGCATTTCTGGGAATGGAACCCAGGGGTGCTCTACCACCAAGCTACATCACCAGCCCTATTAAATTATTATTTTTTTTGTCTTTTTCTTTTTTTTTTATCAGTACCGGGGATCAAACTCATGACTGCCTGCTTGCAAGGCAGGCGCTTTTGCTGTAAGCTAAATCCCCAGCCCCAAATTATTATATTTTTAAATTTTGACACAATGTATCACAATTAAGAAGCCCAGATTTGTGGTCCTCCAGCTTCAGCTTCCTGGTGTGTTCCACTGTACCTGGCAGGATTCCTGTGTTTCTTTTTCTTTTTCTTTCTTTCTTTCTTTCTTTCCTTCTTTCTTTCTTTTCTCTTTCTTTTTCCCTCCACTGGGAATTGAACTTAGGACCTTGCACTCACCAGGCAGGCACTGTGCCACTGAGATATATCCCTGTCTCCCTGTCAGGATTTATTAGACTGAGGATTTCATAAACTCATCCACTTATTCCTTTGAGATTTAATAGGCATTCATTGACCATACACTATGCACATGTCACACACCAAGCACAGCACTAGACATATTTTCTATTTCTCCTTTAAACTTCATGTAACGTAGTTCATGATCAGGTAAAGAGTCTGAAATGCTGGTTAGAGTGTTTGAGGCTTTTTTCCCCCCTGAGATGGACCTCGGAGAGCCTCAACAGAGTTCTCAGCAGGGAGGTGACATAGTCTAGTCACTCTTGTTGCTGAATGGAGTTGGAATTGGATTTGTAGACATATAAAGTCAGGGTCCCAGTCAGAAGGTTGTTGTGATGGCCTACACAGGAGCTCTCACACTTTAGTGTGCTCTGAGCCATAAATAAGTCACTTAGGACTTATTAAAACACAGATTGCTAAATTGTCTAGGCTGGGGTGGAACTTTCAATCCTCCTGCCTCAGGTTTAGTGACTTAGCAAGACCTTGTCTAAAAAAAAAAAAAATTGAAGTGTTAGGAATGTAGCTTAGTGTGGAAGAGTTCAGTTCTATTCTTTTCTTTTATTAGTACCAGGGACTGAACTCACAACCGTGGGCTTGCAAGGCAGGTGCTTATGCCACTGAGCTAAATCCCCAGCCCCTTGGGTTCTATTCTCAAGGAAGGGGAAAAAACAGATTGCTAGGCTCTGTTCCCAGAGTTTCCAACTCAGTAGGTATCGGTTGGAGTCCAGGAATTGGCACCTTTAATAAGTTCCCAAAAGCTGATGATGCTGGTTCATCAAAGGGCCACTCTTGGGAGATATAGGTTAATGAGAAAAAATGGGATAGCTTAAGATGCTGAGAGAAGGGGTGCCATATGCCTTCTGGGATATCTACCTCCAGTTTCTTCCACATAAATTCCATGGGTGAATGCTTAAGGATTAGAAATAACATTCTGTGAGGATTGACTTATAGGGGTGAGGGAAAGGTCCTAAATTCTTCTAGGCAAGCTTTGAACTTAAAGTTAGTGGTGCCATTTAGGGAGCTATAGAGTTACAAAGGAAAAGCAGGTGGGGTTGGTGGCAGGGATGGAGGAGATGTTGAATCCAGTCTTGACTTGGAAATGCAGATGACTGCAAGGAAATGTCTGATGGAAAGGAGACGTCTAGTTGGCAGCTGTGTGGGCAGTTTCAGATCTCCAGCCAGTGGGCATGAAACGAGGTCCTGAAGAGTGTAGGGAGGAGGAGCAGGCAGAAGCTGGTCCTCTGAGAGGGAATAACTGAGGAGAGGTGGCATCTAAAGCTACCAGAAAGTAGACAGAGGACACTCGAGGAAGCCACCAGACGCGCAGCTCATCTTGTCACACTGGTCCTTCCTAGGCCTGCTGGAGACAGAGGGGGATCCCCAGAGCTAGGCATGGCAGGAAGCTTCTGCCGCTTCTGGACTTCTCCCAAAGGCCACCACCACTGTGCATGCTGTGAACTGACATCTGTCCTGCAGCTTGAATTCTGATGTCTTTATGGATGAAGTTGAGGGGAGGAGGAGGAGGAAGAGGAGGAAGGCTGACACAGACTCACTTGCCCAGATGTACAAATGCACACACTCCCGACTGCGCTGCACCTGTCACCCTCACGGTGGCTCTATCCTCTGGATGTTCTTAGTGAGGAAGTCTTAGCTGTCAGTCTTTTTACCCGTGGCCTCCCAGGCTGAGATGGCCCAGGCCTGAGCTTTTCACTAGCCATGTGTGCTCTGGGATTCTCACCTGGAACCGCATATTCCATGGTTTAATGATGTCTCCTTCCTGTTCCCTTTTTATCTAATCTATCTCAACATTGTTACCTTTACCTTCTCATCTCCTACTTCATTAAAAAGAATGTGAGAAAACAATTCTCCTAGACCTCCTCCACATTTTTGTTCTGAAGCTGCCGAAACTGAGCTCAGAGAAGACTTGGCTGGGATCACAGTCTCTCAGAGACAGGACTGAGTTCTAGGCCCCTGAGACTAAGGTAACATAGAATACTGATCCTGACTGAGCAGAGAGGGGCTACAGGGGAACAACTTCAGTGCCCGCCCTTAACCAGCTGCTTGCCTGTGAGCAAGTCACTTCAACTCTGTGCTTTGTTCCTCACCTGAAAATGGGGGAATCCAGACATCCATCTCAGAGCCATGGTGAGAGTAAGATAATATTCCTTAACTACTTAGCACAGAGGGTGGCACTTTCTGTAATAAATGTTCACTGTGGTTATTTCTACGATGCCCTGTTCTGTGCATCTTCTTGATCTCTCTCTCTCTCTCACTCTGTACTGGGGATCGAATGAATTCACAACCTTGCACTTGACAGGCAGGCATTTGTGCCATTGAGCTAAACCCCCAGCCTTTCTTCTTGCTTTTTAAAATATCTTTCTTCTGCTCTCTCCATTCCTGTTCTGTTTGGCATTTCTTTGACTTTCTTTTCTTTAATTCCTGTCTCTGCTTCCAGGAGAGAAGGGTGGCATTTGGGGAGAAGGAAAGAGGAATCCCTGTAGAGATTAGAACATGCCTAAATGACAGCCAGTATCTGCCATGATAACAGACAAACACATAGCCCGTGCATGTTAGTGTAACAATCACACTCCTTCCACGTGGCTGTTACACACAAATTCACCCCATACTGCCTGGTGTCGCAGCTTCACACCCAATCAGCCCAAGCCATTGTGGTTTCAGATGCATCTTGAGTTCTTCTGGAGTACAGCTGTAGCAAAACCCCATCCCAGGCAACCGTCTCTGCCCAATTTGTGGTTTCAACTTCTTCAGACTCTGGCTCGGCTTTGGGTTTAACAGCCCAGAAAGCCTGAGTGAACTGGCCACTTTCGGAGGGGTTTTGATCCAGAACCATTCAAGAGAGGTAACACACAGTGATACAGGCAAGCACAGGAGCTGATGTGCTCGAGAGTTTTCAGTCCACAGACTTTTTCAACATTCACAACCGTCCATCGTATTCAAAGTCAGATGAGGACTTAAACCACTGATACCCATTTCACAGACGAAGAAGCTGAGACCAGCAAGTAGTAGTGCTTTGCTCAAGGGCAAGCGTGGGACACAGTCGAGAAACAGTAGGGCCTCGGTAAGTCTCGCCTCTTTCTGTGTCTTCGCAGCTGAGAATTTGCAGAGAGCCGCTCACATCAGCAGGGGTGGAATTCATGCCTCCCCTTCGCACCGCGACCAGTCCCACCAAAACCACGCCTCCCGTTTGCAGCCACTGGGGAAAGGGAGCGCGGCCACAGCTTGTCTCTTTAACGCGCGCCCCCGGAGGCCCGGCGCGCCCCCGCCTCTATAACTGGAGCGCATGGAGCAGGCTGCGCTCAGAGGAAGAAGGGCGGGCGGCGCTGGGCACCCGCGGACCGACTTCTCCAAGTGTGGTCAGCGCCCGCAGGTTCCCTCCATGGACCCGCCGGGGGGCACCCTCCGCTGAGGACCTGACGGCCGCCGGGCTGAGGGCTGGGCTGCGCCCGGCTGCCGCGCCGTGCCCCCCGCGGACTGTGCCGGCTCCCCGCGTCCGCTCCCCCGTGCTCGCCGTCGGGCGAGGGCTCCGCCGCCGCCACGCCTCGCGCCCCGCGCCGCCCGCCCCATGCTGGTGCACACGTACTCCGCCATGGTGAGTCGGGCCCGGGACGCCCTCGGCGCCGGACCCTGACCTGCGCGGGCGCACACGGGGTTCGGGAGAGGAGCGGGACCGCCGGGTCGCGGCCAGGCGAGGAGGCGGCGGGCGGGAGCGGGCCCCGGCTGAGGTTCCGGCTGCGGGCCCCTCGGTGGCGGACGCCGCCCCAGGACCGACGGCCCGACGCCCCGGCCCGGAGGACCGCTCAGCGGCCGCGGGGTCGCCTCCTCACGCCGCGCCCTCCCCTCCAGGAGCGCCCCGACGGGCTGGGCGCAGCGGCCGGGGGCGCCCGCCTGTCGTCCCTGCCCCAGGCGGCCTTCGGCCCCGCGCCCCCGCTGTGCCACACGCCGGCCGCCGCCGACTTCCAGCCGCCCTACTTCCCGCCGCCCTACCCGCAGCCGCCGGTGCCCTACAGCCAGGCGCCCGACGCCGCCGCCTTCCCACACCTGGCCGGGGACCCCTACGGCAGCCTGGCGCCCCTGGCGCAGCCGCAGCCCCCGCAGGCCGCCTGGGCCGCGCCCCGCGCCGCCGCCCGCGCCCACGACGAGCCCGCGGGGTTGCTGCCGCCGCCGGCGCGCGCGCTGGGCCTCGATCCGCGCCGCGACTACGCCGCCGCGGTGCCCCGGCTCCTGCACGGCCTGGCGGACGGTGCGCACGGCCTAGCGGACGCGCCCCTCGGCCTCCCCGGGCTGGCCGCGCCGCCCGGCCTAGAGGACATACAGGTGAGACGCAACGGGTCTGGGGTGGGCTGGGACATTAAAGGCAAGAAGTGACAAATTGAGGAACGTGACTTTTCTCCCAGCCTGTGACTCCCAGGATGCGCGCCATCTTCTGGGGTAGACGTTGCCCGTCTGTTAAGGTGACTGGGCGCTAAGTCGGTGCGGGATGCCTAATGGCAGCAGCCCTCGGCAGGGACCAAGTCACTTCCCTCCCTCCCCGCGGGCGGTTGAGCTCCTTGGGCAGCTCAACCTCAGCCGGCTGGGGCAGCTGCGCTTGGGACAAGGGAAGCGCAGTAGTGGCCTTCTTAGGCACGGCGAGTACCCAGGACTCCTGCTTTGGCCGCAGATGGTGCCTTGCGATTCCCAGTCCCGCAAGTTGTCGCCCCAGGCGGCATGGTGGGCACGTAGGGTGGAGCAGTCAGGGACCCTGGGCGTCAGGGACTCCGAAAAAGACATGACGGCTATATCCACGCGCGCCCTCACCGCTGCCCTCTCCTATTTACAGGCCATGGATGAACCAGGAATGAGCCTCCTGGACCAGTCTGTGATCAAGAAAGGTAAGGAATGGCAATCAACTGCCAGGGTAGCACCAGGCGAGATGGTGCCGGCTTGAGGCAAACAGACCCATTTCCTTCACGGCTGTCAATACCTCCTATGAGTCGCCTGATTCGGTGGCCACCGACCACTCTTCCCGGCCAGCAGAGGGGCAGCGGACGCTGGGGGTCGGCCGGATGCTGGGCAGCGGGGCAGGCTCTCTGACTTAGCCCTGGAGTCAGTCGCCCGCGCTTGGCTGGAGTCCCGCTGCTGCGCTGCTCCTCCGAGCGGGCGGGCGCTTGGGCCAGGCTTCTGCTGGCTGAGGGGAGGGTGCTCTGATGGATCTGGAGTTAATTTGCAGAACGAGTTAAAGAGGTGGGAATGGAAGTGCTGTTCCCACAAATTTCGGTAAATAACTTCCACTTTAATAGAGCTTTACCGTTTTGGAGCCTGGAAGGCACTTTCTGCCCCTTTCTCCCGGCAGAGCTTTGGGGGCCTTTCATTTCCAGAGATTTTCTTTCTGCTGGAGTATCCATTAGCATTAAGGATTTGAGACCCAGTGTGTGGATATTGTTTGTGTTAAGCTGTGTGCACGTGGGTCGGGATCTGCCTGATCCTGGATGTTTCTGTGAGTTCCAGGTCCTACACAGCATCCCTGTGTCTTCCTTTTCTAGGTATTAGTATTTTTTAGTGTTCATCTTTGTTGTGAGTGTATTGGGGATTCACATCTGTGTATGAAGGGACTGTACTTCTCTGTATTGGGGTACATTTCTCTGTGTTTGAGGTTTTTAGTGTATGCAACAGCGTCTCTTTTGTGCCCTAATATCTGAGGATTTCTTTAGTATCTGAGGATTTCTAAGGTGTGAGAGCCCCTCTCTGTGTATTTTCAGGGCTATTTGTGTGTCTTTTTACACTAGTAAATGTCAATGATGTGCGACCCACCCCAAGCAGATTTTTAGGCCTCAGAATTCTGGCTGTGTCAGGGAAAGGTGAAAAAAAAAAAAAAAAGGCAGAGATATACAAAGAGAAACAAATAGACTCAGAGGAACCCATGCCTTGAACAGACTCCTTAGATCTGGGGTAGGTGCCCAAAGGAATTTGGAGGCACAGCAGTGGCTTCTCCTCCCATCTCCTCCCAAAGGATTTGGCTAAAGTTGTTTTTCAAATGAGTGAATTCAAGCCCAGGTTTGGTTTGCCCCCCTCCGTTGGTTCTCAGGGGAGGATCCTGGTGCGCATAGGGATGAGGAGGAGAAAGGCTAGGACTGGGTCATGGGGACCTGGAAGCTGGCTGAACCACTTGGAGTGTATAGCGAGTGATGAGAGGACAGCCTGTCAGAACTTGGTGAGGAATGCCTCCTAGAATTATTGTATAGAGGACACCTGGGTAGCACACTTGGAACTGCACTATGTGCCCCACCCAGCCTTTGTGAGATTACTGAGAAGCTCCCACCTTGACACTGGTGGAAGGCAGAACTGGCTCTGCAGTCTATAAGAGCGTGCCACTGGGCTTGGCCCACTGTCCACTGGAGATAGGACCGTCCTTGCCAGCCGCTCCTCCCTGTTCCTGACTCCTGCCCAGGCTCCATATGGAACCAAGACCCTGCACTTTGGGAAGAAGCCTAGTGATCTCTACCTTGGGGGAAGGGTAGAAGCATCTGCTATCAATCTGATTACCTTAACCCAGAACTTCAGGCCTGGAGACATGTGAGAAGGGACTGGAATCGACCCAGAATTGGTTTCTTTGGAAGGACCTCAGCTTCCAAAACTCCCACACCTTAGATGTTCCCAGAATCCCCCAAGGCAGTCCCAAGTACACAGTGAACTGGGCTTGCACGGTCCTGGGTGCTGAGAACTGGCTCCCCGGGATGGGTGTGGGCTGCCAGCTGGTCGGTGCCAGCAGCCGGTGGGTGGCCCAGGGGGGGCATTGTTGGAGCTCCTGCGACCTGAGCCGCGACGTCCAGTTACAGCCCCGTGTGCTGCAGCAAAAGAGGAACGAAGGGGCCAGAACCTGGGCTGTCTGCGGAAGGAAGCGCTGATTTATACGTCTGGAGCATGGTGCTCCACGGGGCAGGAGAGGGGGTCGAGCCGGCGTGGCCGCCGCGGTCCCCACCTAGAGGCGCCCTGTAGCTGTGAGGTCGGTGGCCAGGATCGAGCCCGAGGCCTGGGCCCCGGACGCTCCAGAGCAGTGGGCAGCTCTCACCTGGTGCTGCGCGGTCACCAGCGGACTCGGCCTCGCCCCTAGTTCTTCGGGTCGCCATCGGGGTAGTGGGTTAGAGCCCTGCGTCGTCCTCAGGTCGTTTCTCCCGGGTCTCCAGCGCCTGTCGGGAGCGGTGTGGGACCCCAGGACCTAGAATTACAGAAAGTCGCGCTGGGCGAGCGTAAGCGAAGCGGCCCCTTCCCGCAGCTCTTCCCAGCCACGGCGCGAGGGGCGACTGCGTCCCCGAGTTCAGGTCTGCGGTCCGAAAAAGCGGAAGCAGAGGCAACCTTAGCCTCGCCACGGTCGCGGCTTTGTTCCGTGGGGGTCAGAGGGATTCGGATCAGGATGTCATAGTTGTTGGGGTCAGGGAGCAGAGCCTGGGAGCTCTCGGGACTCCGACCCGGGTGCGCGATCTTCGCCGACTGCACCCGCGCCCGTCCGCACACCCAGGTCAGCCTGGAGCACCTGCCAAGCGGCCGGGTTGAAGAAGCCCACCAGAGCAGAAGTGGGGAACCCTCCTTTTAGGCCCACACCGGGTTTGCAGCCTGACCCGGAGCCCCAGAGAGCAGGCGGGACTGATGAGGTAGACGGAGCTGCGCAAGAATATTTTCCAGCCAAAAAGGGCAAGATGCTGGAGGTGAGAGCGGCTGCACAAGGCCTGACGGGGCTCGCGGCTGGAGGCTTCCTAGAGGCCAGACTCTTGAACCGGAGTCGGAGGGCGTTAAATGAATAAGCGAGGGTTTCTGGCTTAGCGAGGGTTGAGGACATGGGCGGAAGGGGATACAAAAAGGACATGGCAGCATGGGCAGATGCCTTCCTTCCCTGTGGAAAAATAGGTAGGATCCAAGTATCCAACTCTGGTGTGCGTTTTCCTGACAGGGAGTGGTTGTCTGCTGGGGCTGGGGAATCCCTCTGGGCGGACCCGGTGGTCGGGTCTCAGGGGTTTTTCCGGGAAGAGGCTGATGTAAACATCGTCTTCTGTTGTGATCTCTTCAGTCCGCTCCAGTTCCAAATGGAGGTGGAAAGAGTTTGAGCTTCCAAGTGAGTTTCCCAGTCTGGGTCTGAGGTGAAGTGAGGAGAGTGAAGTCCTTGTCTCTCTGGGGCAAGATTTTTTTTTTTTTTTTTTGTCTTTTTCCTTTTTATGGTACCAGGGATCGAACTCACGACTGCCTGCTTGCAAGGCAGGCGCTTATGCCGCTGAGCTAAATCCCCAGCCCCCTATGGGGCAAGATTTAAGAGAGTACCCAACGAACTCTGTAATCAAGACAATTAATAACATTAAAATTAAACATAATGTAAACAATCAACTGCATTAGCATCAGACATTTACATAATGAGAGGCTCTACTTCTGCGGCCCTTCTTCACTTGCCTCCAGGCTGCTGTCTGCCCCAGACAGCAAGCTACTAAAAGAACAGCGCCCCAGCAGGTAGTCTGGACTTTGGGGACCACCGAGGGGTGTGGAGCAGGGGAGTGAAGATAGCTGATGGGAAGGGAACTTAACCAGGAGGTCCCCAAAGACAGATGGAGAAGACTCTAGTGGATGGGGCATCGCTGCCCTGCTGCTTGCCTCCTCAGGCCGCGTTCCTTCCCGCCAGGCTCCGGGCCACAGAGACCCTCGCTCTGTGTGGTCCAAGGAAGCATAGTAAACAGGAGGATTCCCTGAAGGTGCTGATTAAAACTATTTCTGAGCCCCTACTCACATGCACTGAATCTGAATCCCTGGAAGGATGTATGGCCCTGGAACTTCCTTTTTTAATAAGTTATTTATTGCGGTAGATTTTAGATAAATAAAATTCACCCATTGTAAGAATACAATCTGATGACTTTGGTAAATGGGATGGGGACAGTTGATAACCATTACGACAATCCATAGTGCTGTCACCCCTTGAAATGCCTTCATTCCTATTTGTAGTTAATTCTCATTCTCACGCCAACCCTTAGGCAGCTGCTACTCTGCTGTCTATAAATTTGCATATTCCAGACATATTGTATAAATGGAATAAGTAGATATGCAGGCTTCTGCATCTAGCTTTTTTTCTTGCTTTTTTGTAGTACTGACGATTGAATCCAGCACTTTCCTGAGCTACATCTCCAGCCCCTTTTAATTTTTTAATTTTGAAATAGGGTGTTCCTAAATTATGAAGTTCCCCAGGCTGGGTTTCAGGCTTGCTGTCCTCCTCCCTCAGCCTCACCAACAGGTGTGTGTCACACACACACACACACACACCCGCTGCTTCTAGCTTCTTTTACTTAGCATAACATTTTTGAGGTTTATCCTTGTTGTAATACCATTGTTGAACCAGTAATATTTTCTTCTTATTGCTGAGCAGTATTCTACAGTATGGACAAATACACATTTTGTTTATCCGTTAGCTGGTTGACCAGCATTTGGATTGTTTCTACTTTTTTTCTATATGGATAATATTGCCACGGCCATTTATATTGTGTCTTTGGGTAGACACACATTTTTATGGTTTTCTAAAAGTGGAGTTGGTAGACTTTACGTTTGCTATAGACTTATGTAGTAAATTTACGTTTAATTTTTAAGAAACTGCCAAGCTGTTTTCTAAGGTGCCTGTACTTACATTGCTACCAGCAAGTTGTGAAGGTTCCAGCTTCTGCACGCCCTCACCTTCACTTGGTATTCTCCTTTTTATTATGACCACCTGGTGGTATCTCAGTATAGTCTTAATTTGCATTTTGTTAATGGCTAGTGATATTGGACAGTGTTTGTGTACTTAAGAGCCATACATCTATCACTTTTAGTCAAGTATCTTTACATGTTTTAACCATTTTTTTCTTCCTTCCTATTTTTATTTTTTAACTTTTTATCTTTCTTTGAGACAGTCTTGCTTTCTAGTTTATGCTGGCCTTGAACTCGCTATATACCCCAAGCTGGTTTTGAACTTGTGGCAGCTCTCCTGTCTCAGCATCTTGAGTGCTGAGGTCATAGGTATGTGTCACCATGCCCCACATTGACCATTTTTAAACTAAGTTATCTTATTGAATTGTGAGAGTTTTTTAAAAGTATGTTCTAAATACATATCCTTTATTAGATATATAATTTGCAAATATTTTCTTCCAGGCTGTAGTTCATCTTTTTAAAATTTTTATCTAAAAATATAAAAAATAAATATAATTTTTATCTATCTGTCAGTCATTTATATTGCAATACTGGGAATTGAACAGCCTTGGTTTTTTGTTTTTAATCGGTACTGGGGATCAAACTCATAACCACATGCTTGCAAGGCAGGCGCTTATGCCACTGAGCTAAATCCCCAGCCCCCAACTGCCTTGGTTTTTTAAGATAAGTTCTCACTAAGTTGCTCAAATGATACTCAAAATTGGGATTCTCCTGCCTTAATCTCTGAATAGCTGGTATTATAGGCATGAGCCACTTTGCCTGGTCTCTTTTATTTTCTTAGTATTGTTCTTGAAGTAAAAAAGTTTTGAATTTTGATGAAGTGCCATTTATAATTATTTTCTTTTATTTATATCATGTTTTTGGTGTTATAATTAAGAGCCAGAGCTAACTCTTTAAAAAAAAAAAAAAAGAGCTAACTCTTCCATGAATCTGTCATGAAACTTTATCTCCTTCTACAAGAACTACGATTTTACGACGTTTTCTGAGGAAGTATATTGCACAGCCTCAGGCTCACCAGCCTCGGTTTAGGCCTCGGATTAAGATGGCTGCCACCTCTGGATAGACTTGGATATGTGTGCCCTGTCTGGCAGGTTGAATAAGGGGATCTCTGTGTCAGCCCTGAGTCTCACAGTACACAGATGGCTTCTGAGTGTTTGGCCAAGGGGACACCATGGCTACACCAGCTTCGGGAGCCACTGTGGTGGGGGTATCTTGTGGGTGTGGGGAACAAATTCCAGTGTCTGCTTTGCAGTCTGCTAATTTAAACCCGCCTCTATGACTGCTCCTTCCCTGGCTCACCCAGCTCCCTAATCTTGGACTGCATTTCTCTTGCCATTTTTGAGCTCTGAGGAAAAAGCAACAAGTTGGGGAAGTAGCAAAATCTACTATTTATACACAGGAACATATGTTCCCATGTCATGTGTTTGGGAAGGAGAGGTAAACAAAGCTCACCCTGTCTCTGTGTCCCTATAATGTGCATTTGCACGTGGTTGCACCTGTGTTTGCATAAATCTGCCATCAGCAGGAGAAAGCACTTGGCAGAATGCACGGGAAATGGGGTTTTGCTATAGAGTCTAGGCTGGCCTTGAACATATATGATCCTTTTGCCTCAGCTTCTTAAGCGATACCTGTCATGCTCCCCACTTTGAAGTCGAGGGTCACTGACTTGTGTCACTGGCCACAAGCTACATGTAGCTACTGAGCACACCAAATTTGACTTGTATGAATAGACATGGGCCATGAGTGTAAAATACACATTGGATTTTGAAAAAAAACAATAAAACAAAGAATCTAATATATCTCATAAATTTTTAAAATACTGATTACATTGAATATATTAACCAAATATAGATTATATTGTTTAATATTGTTAAATATTATATAATATTTAATATACATTAATTATAATTAACCTCACATTTCTTTTTATTTCCTTTTAAATGTAACTACTAGGAAGTTTACATATGTGGGTTTTTTTCTGAGACAGTGTCTCACTAAGTTGTCTAGGTTGGCCTAGAACTCCTGATCCTACTGCCTCAGCCTCCTGAGTGCTGGAATTACAGATGTGTATCACCATGCTGAACTTGTGGTCCATATTGTATTTGGTCCGTCTGGGTCTAGAGCCTAATGGATAAATAGCACCACATAAAACCAGGAGACAGGAGCCATTAAAACTGATGGTTAATGATGTGAACTTGGGGCTGGGGATTTAGTTCAGTGGCATAAGCACCTGCCTTACAAGCAGGTAGTCATGAGTTTGATCCCCGGTACCGGTAAAAATGAAAAAGACAAAAAAAAAAAAGATGTGAACTTTAGTCAGTGGCCAGAGTTCAAGGTCCATTTCTGGTCTGTGTTTGTTGTGATATTTTGATTGGACCTTTCAGTTCTTCTTCTTTTTATTAATTTATTCAGTGCCTGGGATTGAACCCAGAATCATATGCATTGTAGTAGGCACGTGCTCCTACCACTGAGCTACACCTCCAGCCCAAGTTGTTTCAGTTTGACATGAGAATCTGGACAGCAGCTCTACTCCAGCACTTACTCCAGATAAACAACTTCATTCTGCCCAGCTGTGGAGCTGGGATCTGCTTTTCGGGGAACTGAGCTGGCACTGATGGGTTTTAAACTGCAGAGTAACTGAGTGAGGCATGTTTCAGAAAGATCCCTCTGGTGCAGGACTGGGGAACCAGAGCAGAGGCTGTGCAAAAATGCAGACAGGGAGGGAGAAAGCATCTGGACACACACAGAGAAGGGCTGCATGTGAGGCAGATTAAGATACTAAGGCTATAACTCAGAGTAATGGGTGTGATGTGTGTAGAGAGTGTCTTGAAGCTGGGTGGAGAGCGAGGATGTTCATCAGGAGAGAGAAAAAGTGGTGGCTCTGCCAGGCTAGGGACAAGGTGAGCTTTTTACTCTTCTTCTCAAGACCAGGGCATAGTGCTCAGCAAATACTTTCAAATGATACTGGTTCTCATTCTACCAGCTGAGTGGTGTCATGGCACACTCCTGCACATCTCTGGGCTTGTCTCCCCACCTGTAAATGAGAATAGTAGGAGTGGCTGCCTGTGGGTCGTTCCAAGAGCTGGGGATGACACATAGCATAGTGGGTATGCAGTAGTTGTTGGCCCCAGATGGCTCATTTGACCCCCACTCCCAACATGCACGTAAGACTTTCTCTACTGAGGCTCTCACTTCCCTGAAAGAGAAGGCCTGGGAGTTCCTTGGAAGAGGTCTGGGCCTGAATGTTCTCCCTTCCTCCTGCAGTTAAGTCAAAAGATAGAGGTTAAAAAAAACTTTCTTTTAGAGCCAAGAGGATCTAGGTGAATTTTAGAACATTAACTTCTCTGAGGCCCTTCGTAGATATTAGAGAGTATTCAGAGGGCACTTAACTCCTTATTCCTTGTTTTCTACAGCACTCCAGAGTGGCCTGGCAGAAAAGGTAACAGGGCTAGAGGCCTCATGGGGCCATAACCTCCTAGGTCTCAGGATGTGGGAGTCCACACCCCACCACCTCTCACTGAGGTGGGACAGTGTACTTAGGATAGTGGGGATCATCAGTGGGAAGTGGGACTCCCTGTGGTGACCCAGGAATCCTGCCTTGAGCTCAGACTCCACTTCATGTCCAGCTTACTCTCTGACAACACCCGCCAGAATGACCACGCTCTGCTAAAACTGAGTTTTAAGAGGCTCCGAGAGGGCTCATTGGTTTGAGAGTCAGACACTGGGTTCAGTGTGTACTCCTACTGAGTGGACTTGATGTGTCACTTTAACTCAGCGTGACTCAGTTTCCCCCTTGGTAAAGCAGGGATGCTAGAATGTCCCTCTGAAAGATGCTGGACCTCTTCATGTGCACAGCTGGTGAGTCCTAACACACCTGCTGCACAGCAGGCTGGTGCTTGTCCTGTGGCTGCTGGCTCAGTGTCCCCTTTCTCTTCCCTTGCTTCTACTCTACAGTCCCCATGCCCTCCAAAGCCAGCAGCCTTTCAGCCCTCTCCTTGGCCAAAGACAGTTTGGTTGGCGGCATCACCAACCCCAGTGAAGTCTTCTGCTCCGTGCCTGGCCGGCTCTCATTACTCAGCTCAACGTCCAAGTACAAGGTGACGGTGGGGGAGGTGCAGCGGCGACTCTCACCTCCCGAGTGCCTCAATGCCTCCCTCCTGGGCGGTGTCCTCCGAAGGTAGGAAGGCCAGCCCACACCCCAGCAAGAACTCCTGGTCTCTTTAGACCTTCTCAAGACATTACCCCAGGCCATGACCTCTGCCTCAGTTTCCCCGGGAGAGGAGGTCCCAGGGACTCCAGACTGTGCATATGCTGGTGCAGGTCCAGCTCTCAGATTGGGGCAGGGGGAGAGAAGCCAGGGCACTGAAAAAAAAAGGAAGACTCATGTACATTGGGTAGGATGAACAAGGCTGAGTCTGGGGAAAAGAGTGCCATCCTCAACCCTCCCCAAGGCAAGGACACGAAGACCCTAGGTCCATTTCCTGTGTTAGCATAGGCCTCACTGGTCTGTGTATTTTGGGATGGGAAGCATGGTAGTCCATAGTTTGTTTTCATAGCCATGTGTCTGTTCCTCTCTTTGCATGTCCTTGTGCCTAGGAAGGGTATTTCTGCTTCATGGCTGTACATTTGGATGAATCTAAGGATGATGCTGATGATCGTGATGGTGTGTGTGTGTTAGGGGATATCCAGGAGGATGTGTTTCCATGAGTGTGAGTTATCACTTACATTCTTTGTGTTATTTTCTTTTTTTGATGCTGGGTCTTGTTATGTAGCCCAGGCTAGCCTTGGACTTTCAGCAATCCTCCTGCCTCAGCTCCTCAAATGCTGGGATTATAAGTGTGCACCATTATACCCAGCCTCTTGTGTTATTCTCAGTTGTAATGTGTAGCCTGGGGTGTGGTGTGTGTGTGTGTAATTGCATGTGCATCTGCAGGTAGTTGTATGTATGTTTACAAGCCTGTATCTCTATACAGAGCTGCATTTGTGCAGTTGTAGACCCTCCATATTCCTGGCCTCTGAGCATCCCAGAACTTGTCTCTGGGATCCTGAGTGTCCAAGTCTGTTGGTCTCTGGTGCCGGTCTCTTTGGATGAGTGTTTATATGCCTCCAAATTCTTGGCCTTCAGTATTCATTTATTTGTATTTGTGTGAATCTCTGAGTCCCCAGATGACTGTGTACCTGTGTCCCTCTGTGTGTCATTCCATATCTCTGCATAGTGCATCCCCAGCAACTATGCTAAGGTGGGGGAAAAGGATCCTAAGATTCCTCCCAATCCCACCCTGCCCTGCGCTCTCCCTGCCATCCAGAGAACTAGGGAGAAATAAGAACTTCTGGAGCTGGGTGCTGAGACCCCCATGCAGGTCTTGATTGCAGAAACAGAAGTTAGAAAGACTTTTAAAAGACCCCAGAGAATCTCCAAGTCAACAGGAATTGGGCAACAGGCCCTTTAGGGGTCATTTAGCCTGCAGGCTTCTCTCTTTTCTTAATAGCTGGGTGTCTGTTTCTCTCTGTGCATGTCAAGGGCCAAGTCCAAGAATGGGGGCCGGTGCCTGCGGGAACGGCTGGAGAAGATTGGGCTTAACCTCCCAGCAGGCCGGCGGAAGGCTGCCAATGTGACACTGCTGACTTCGCTGGTGGAGGGTGAGTGTACTTTGAACATTGCTGAGTCTGTGTATGCACTCCGTGGAGAGAAATGTATGTGTGTGATGTGTGAGTACAGTTGGCCCTGCTGTGGGTTCCCATTTGAGGAGTTAATTAACCATAGCTCAAAAATGTTTTTAAAACTTGTGTCTTCACTGAACATGTACACATTTTTTTCTTGTCATTATATCCTAGACAATACAATATAACTACTGTACTTATACAACATTTGCATTTTTTTAGGTATTATAAGTAACCTAGAGTTGACTTAAAGTATACAGGAGGATATGGATTATATGCAAATACTGTCATGTTGTATAAGGGACTTAAGCATCCACGGATTTGAGGATATCCTGGAGCTAATATTGAGGGACAACTCTATAGTGTTTGCATGTGTTTCTGCGCAGCCCTGTGGACATGCAGGAGGCTACTTCTGGTGTGGGGGTAGGTATAGCAGTAGCCAGTGTTCGGATGTGGGAAAAGGATGAGGGAGGTGATGGTCCTCTTCCCTGGAGGTCAGTATCTCTCGGCTCTGGCTTGGGATATGTGATCCAGCACCCATCTCTGAGCTCAGAACCCCACCCTGGCAGCCCCAGGTGAATTGAGGCTGGAGGAGGGCAGGGGAGGGAAATAGGAGTGAGCTTTTCTGGAAACAAGAGAGGGCAGGATGTCTCTGACCAGGAATTCTGAGGGGTTCAAGGCCGGGTCCAGTTTAGAGGTACATCTGGCAGTAACAATAACTCGCACCCCTTGCCCCAGGAGAGGCTGTGCACCTGGCCAGAGACTTCGGCTATGTCTGCGAGACTGAATTCCCAGCCAAAGCAGCCGCTGAGTACCTGTGCCGACAGCATGCTGACCCTGGGGAGTTGCACAGCCGCAAGAACATGCTGCTGGCTGCCAAGTGAGTGGGGAGACTGCACCCTGGCTGTCACAGCTGCAATGCACAGACACAGACACTGACCTAAGCATGAAGGACACCACTCATACACGAGCACATGTGGCACACATGGTGCCACATACGGGCACCATGTCTGTCAGTCAGACCTACGTGAACACTTTGCACAAGTACCAGAGAGAGCACAAGGACAAAACATGTGAACGTATCTGTATTCTACGCACCAGTAAACACGGTGTCACATAGCGATGTCTCACATATGACTACCTCATGGCATGACCAGCCCACTTCTCATCTCACTATGGGTCTGAGGCATGCCCCTGCTGAGCTTCTCTACTCCAGTGAACCCTCCAGGCCTCCAGGTCAAGTGAATCCTCTGTAGGTCCCACTGGTGCCTCCCGCACCACCATTCACATGTTGCCACCCAGGTCTCATCTCACTCCTGGACCTTCACCCAAGGCCTCCTTGTGCTTGCTCAAGAATCTTCAATGGGGGCTGGGGATTTAGCTCAGCGGCATAAGCATGCAAGCAGGCAGTCGTGAGTTCGATCCCTGGTACCGATAAAAAGGAAAAAGACAAAAAAAAAAAAATCTTCAATGGGCCAGGGATTTAGCTGAGTGGCATAAGTGCCTGCCTAGCAAGTGCGAGGTGTGTTAGATTCCTGGTACCAACCCCCCCCCCCAAAAAAAAAAAAAAAAAAACAACGCAAAGAATCTTCAATGAGTCCCCTTGTTTCTGCCATAATTTTCAAACTAGGTTCTGTGTCGATGCCACAGAACCTATTTAGAATGTGTATTTCACTAAGACTTACCTTTTAAGAGATCTTTGTGTTAGACAATTGGGAAACTGATAACAAGATTCCATAAATTTGAGTTCCATAAGCTGAGTAATAGTTTATTTCTCAACAGTTCTGGAAGCTGGAAAATCCAACCAGATAGCAGCTGGTGAGGGCCTGTTTTCTTGTATATAGATGATACTTTGTTGCTGTGTCCTTACCTGGTAAAAGGGGCAAGGAGTCTCTCTCCCATCTCCTTCATAAAGGTACTAACCCTACTCATAAGGGCTCTGCCATACTAATGATCAAATCATTAACCAAAGGCTCTGGTCCATCTCCTCAGAGTAGGACTTTTTTTGTTGTTTGTTTTTTGAAAGAGTGTCTCTATGTAGTTGGGCTGTTCTCAGATTATGTAGCCCACTCTGGCCTTGAACCTGCAGTGTTCTTTCTGCCTCAGCCTCCCAAGTGCTGAGATTACAGGTGTGTACCACCATGCCCAGCATCAGGGCTGTATCAATACATTCATTTTAGAAGGTTGCAAACATTCATTCAGACCGCAGCAGTCTCACTGCAAAAAATTATAAAGGTGAGGGGAAAGGAAGGGAGTGAGAGAGAAATTTGAAGGCTATAAAGTTCAGACTCCTTTGAGGTTCAACCGTCTACCCCACACAAACTGCTCCCAAGACAGACGACCTTCCTGGGCTTTCCCTTCTTGTGCTTAGACTCCATTCAGCTCCCTACCAAATGCAGCTCTTCAGTAACAACTCCAACTTCCCTCTGAGGCTTTCCTGTAGTCCGCTAGGCAGAAGGGGAACCAGACCAGTGGAACTACCACAGGAAGCAATCTGGAGGCTCTTCCTGTGGTGGCTAGAGAAGCCTATGGAGGATGGAGTTCCCTTGATTTATGAATCAGCTCATTCAGGAACCACTTTTTGGGTGCTAGCTATGTCTAAGATATTGTCTCATGGTGACACAAAGCTAAGTGACAACCGACGTGAGCCACACATGGGATGCATACAGGAGTGGACAACGGCTGAAGACTGAAACTGGATTAAAATCCTAGCATGGTCACTTTGGCAGGTTATCTACTGGGTCTGAACCCAGTCTCTCATCTGTATAGGAAGATTGTAATAGCATGGATTTACAGTGAAGATTTAGTGAGGTGACATATACAATGTACTTGGTACAACACCTAAACCTCGATTCATGTTTGCTGCTAGCTATTATTTCAGTTATGAAAGGCAGGTTCTGGGCGGTTCCATAAAAAGCAAGTTTTGGGAAGCACTGGGTGTTTGGGGTAGGAGAGGGAATCTAGGAAAGTTTTCTGGATCAAGCAGAGTTGCATTTTAAATGTGGACAGGATACCCACAGGGAGAGCATTTGGTACAGTACTGGCACGTGCTGTTCATGAGCTGTATGATACTGGGCCACTCAGGTAACTTCCCTGAGCTTTAGTTTCCTTTTTTTAATAAAATGATTATAGTCATCATTTGTTGGATCAAGCAATCATGAATAGAGAATATGTATAAAGACTCCAACATGTGGGAGTTCCTTCTCTGGACTCAGGGCCTTAACCTTTATTCTCTGACCCTCTTTTCCCCCACCAGGCAGATCTGCAAAGAGTTCGCAGACTTGATGGCTCAGGACCGCTCGCCACTGGGCAACAGCCGCCCAGCACTCATCCTGGAGCCCGGGGTGCAGAGTTGCCTGACACATTTCAGCCTGATCACCCACGGCTTCGGCGGACCCGCTATCTGTGCTGCCCTTACAGCCTTCCAGAACTACCTGCTGGAGTCACTCAAGGGGATGGACAAGATGTTTCTAAGCAGCGCAGGCAGTGGGCATGGTGAAACTAAGGCTTCAGAGAAGGATGCCAAGCATCGGAAGTAACCATGCTTGCCCTGTCTCTAAATGGCTCCCAAAGCCTGAAAAGAGCTCTTAGCTCTTGGGGGTGACCGTGAAAGGACTCAAAGGTGGGATTGGAGTGAGACCAGAAAGAACATCCATCCAGCAAACCTAGTTATGGATCTGGATTGGAGTAAGGGAAGGTGACCTTTGTGTGGTTTAAGGGCCCATGTATGTTTCACGTGTGTAGGTTTCTGACCTTTGCTGAGAAGGGCTTGGACAGGAAACTGGTGTGGTTAAAGTTGCCTCATGGAGAAAAGCCCTTCCCATTAGGGTGCCTGGGCAGCAGTGTGTCCTCCTACGGGTCGACTTTGCCTTTTACTGATAGCAGGAAGGGCAATAACAAATCAAGAGGTGCTACTGAGGAGCTGGTGACCCTCATCCCAGAATCTCCTATACCCGGACAAAGGGTACTGGTGGCATGAGGCCAGTGAGTTCTTTGGACCCTTCCTACTCTTGGAGGGCAGGAGAGGCCCCCAAGGAACAAAGAAGAAAAAGCACAAATCACAGAACTTGAATCACAGTCCTGTTGATGTCTGTCCTATTTATTTATGTATGCTGTAATTAAATTTGAAAGTTTAAAGATGTCCAGCACATCTTATTTATCTCAGTGAGTTGGGGGTTCATTTCAGTTTTCTGCTCATGCACTGAGATGTCCACCTGGACCAGAGGGGAGAGGTTGTTTAGCTCCCAAAGGACTATGGGCGGGCTGGGAGGGAAGGTTGTGTAGGGCATCTTAAGCTATCACCTGAATTTTATATTTGTTGTCTCTCCTGGCCCTGCAGTCCATGTCCCTCCTCATCCCTCAAATTGCTTCCTCATTCTCTAAAACTTTTTCATTTGGATATGAAGCTCTCCCCATTCTTTAGGCCAGGCCTGGGTTTGCATCCTAACAGGGCAAGGTCACAGGAGAGAGGGGAGTTCTCAAGGAAAAATATCTCGGGGGGGGAGGGAGGGTTGAAGTATAGATGTTGGTGTATCCGGGACATCAGTGTGGCTGTGTGTCAAGTGAATACTGTTTGTTTTTGTGACTTGCTGGGCTGGTAGGTCACTGTGTCAATTTGACCGTTAGGTCTACTTGATGTGTTATAACTGTTGGTGGTAGATCTATATGTGTACCAATTGTTTTTGTTTTTTGTCTTTTTGAGACAGGGTCTCACTATGCAGTTCAGGTTGGCCTTGAGCTCACTTTGTAGCCCAGGCTGGTCTCAAACTTGCAGTGAACCTTCTGTCTCGGTCTCCTGAGTGCTGGGATTACAGGCGTGTGCTACCATGCCCAGCTTGATGATTCTGTTTTTGTGTGTGCCTGTAATGTGTATGCATTAGGCAAATGCTAATTCAACTCTCTTGACTTGAAGGTTTCAGTCTTCAGAACATCTTTCCTAAATGTTGTCAATCTCTCCTTCTCTACTGAATTATTAGATCATTCCCAAAACACATATGGCAAGGTCTCTTATAAGATAAAAATGTTTCCCCATCTCTTCATTTCCTTTGCAATTAAAGTTTGTGGAGGATTGCTATCCTCAATTCTTTTCAACTCACTTCAGTTCTACCAATCTATTGAAATCCATTCACTGATGAAGACATAAAAATCCAAAGGCCTTTCCTGGATTTAACTGCAGCATTTGATGTGGCTGACCATTTGCCCTTTTCTGAAACATTCCATGGTTCCCAATTTCTGGTTTCCTCTGAACCCACTGGTTACATTTCTGGCCACGTTGGCCCCCTCTCCACTTGACCTAAGCGCTGACCTTCCTTCTCTACTTACACGGCTCCCTCCATGGCCTCATTTAGCCCAGGAACGGTCTGGAAGTGGCCCAGGAAAAGACATGGCACTTGCAGATGCCTGGCATACAGTGCTGCTAAGCAGGGGAAAGGCCAGTTACTCAAGAACTTTTCAGTACCAGACAACTTTCCCTAAAGAAAAAGACCAGGTAATTCTCATCAAGTCTTATTTTAGGAAAAAAAAAACTAGTTAGATTTATGACACAGTGATATTAGAAAGGGAAACATTTTTTTTAAAGACCCTTCTGTCTTAGGCTAAGACCTGCTTTTAAACTTTTTTCCCCCCATAGGCTGGAGAGAGGTGGCTCAATGGCAGAGCTCATACCTAGGAAGTGCAAGACCCCAGGTTCAATCCCTAGCACTGCAAAAAGAAATTTTTTTCTCTCATAAATTTTTGCTTAACTGTCTTACATGATTAAGAACATGAGGAAACACCATCTGAAAAAAAAAAAAACCTTGAAAAAAGGCATCTGTAATTCCAAAGTAATCTCCAAGAAAACTATTGATAAACATCACAATCCCTCTATTTCTCTGAACCCCAGGACTAACTCTTAGGTACATAAAAAAGATACCCAAAGCCAGGCGTGATGGTGCACATCCATGTGATCCTAGTACTAGGGAGGCTGAGGTAGTATTGTCATGGGTTTGGGACCAGCCTGGGCTACACTACTGAGTTAAAGTTCAGCCTGAACTATGTAGCAAGACCTTGTCTCAAAAAAAAAAAAAAAAAAAAAAAAAAAAAAAAAAAACCAAAAAACAAAACCCACACTCCCACTCCAGGTAAATGCCTGTAGGGCACTATCTACTTTCTTGCTTGAGACTTAATTTCCTATCTTTGCTTTGCAATAAATGCTGCTTGTATCTCTGCATAGCCCATCCTTCCTCCTACATTGCAAAAATTGTAATTGAGTAACTTGTCTAATGCTGTTGGTGTCACAAAAGTAGATCTTATGGATATTGGCATGAGCCAGCCTTCCGTCATTTCTACTGCATCTCACCACCCTATGCAGTGATGCTCCCAGGCCTGACCCCAACCAGGGGGAAAGTCCTTCCAGCCCCAGTGCTCTCCCCTACCAGTCAGAGTCAGAGTCATTAACAAACAAGTAATACAGGGTGGAGACCATGTCAATGGCATGAGAAACTCTTGTGCGCTTAGCATTTGACTTTTTTTCTTTTTTTTTTCCCCCCCACAGAAAAATAATGTTTCAGCATCTGACTAGCTTAGCTAGATTTAGCCCTGAGGAAAGGAGACAATGATTAAAGAAAAAGTACACAGGATGGTTTCCACAGCTCATTTGTAAAACAAGAAGCTGCAAATTAAAGAGCACTTTGGCAGCATAAGCTTCATGATTTTCAAATTGTCAGAGTGCAAGTTTATACTCACAACAAGTACTTCCCTGTTTTCTTTGGGAGGATCACAGTATTGCAGAAGTAGAGGACAACATTTGAAAGCCTCAGGAAGGGAGGTTAGGGCGAGGTGCAGGCCTTCTTCCTCTCACACAGTCTTGCTCATCACCTACACACAGGAGTTACCAAGCAGCAGACCTCCAGAAGGAATCCTGAAGACGCCCCTCCCTTCCTTTAAGCACTGCTGCTGCTTCTGCCACTTCTGCTGCAGGACCAAGGTGAGGACACCGTGACAGGACTCAGCCTCTGGACTTCAGGCAGAGCAGGTTCAGCCTCCTTTGCTCAGCAGTACTGCCAGGAGCTTCTTAACCCATTTCAGCATCCTCTTTGCTCTCAGAGGCGCCCATCAGCGGCTCTGCGCGCCAGTCTTGGCTGAGCTTCCCTACCCTGAGGCAAAACAGCTGCTCTCTTCTCCAACCTGAACCCTCCCACCCCAAGCCTAGGAAGGAATATTGTTCTCTGTGCATTAATCACCTGCAAGCAGGTGGAAACCAACTGGAAGACCATTCTGGACAATGTTTGGCCAGGAATGTTAAAGAATCACTTCATTCCTAGTGTTTTTCAAACTTCAAGAAATCAATTTAGAACACAGTTGGCATTTTTAGAAATAAAATCCAGAAAAAAATAGCATCAGAACACACAGCATGTGTGTGAATACACACACACGCACACATACACAACTTAAGTTCCACAAAGCAGTGATAACCCTTTTTTTTTTTTTTGTCTTTTTCCTTTTTATCGGTACCGGGGATCAAACTCAAGACTGCCTGCTTGCAAGGCAGGCGCTTATGCCGCTGAGCTAAATCCCCAGCCCTCGTGATAATCCTTCTTATAGCAGCTGTTTTTACACAGGTGTGAAGTCATAAGTGTATGCTGAGATTATATAAATTTAGTTTGATCCTGGGTTTTATGAAATATAGAAGAGGGAAAGGAAACTGAGGAGTGAGGACAGGGAGCACTATAATTTGCCAAGTATGTTAAACCAAGGAACTAGGCTTTATAGTATAAGAAGTGTTAAACCACCAGAAAGTTTTAAGTAAGAAGGAATGGATGGTCAAACTAGTAAAAATACTAGTTTAAAAAGACCACAGAGAACTGGAAGGAGAGAAAATTAAAAGTAGAGTACAGGTTGGAGATTGTTGAATTATTCCAAAAGATGAGGGAGGGTGAACCAAAAAATGGGGATAGATTTAAAAAGATTTAGGCAGTAGAAATGACAGAGCATGGTGTCCATTATGAAGACAGGACGATAAAGAATAGCATCAAAAATCATGCCCAAACTGGGTATGATTGCACAACTCTGTAATCCCAGAACTTGGGAAGGCAAAAAGGAAGAGACAAGTTTGAGCCCAGCATGGATGGGCAATTCAGCAATTCAGTGACTTACAAAAGACTCTATCTAAAAAAAAAAAAAAGATAGAAATGTGCAAAGTCTTAGATTCAGACCTCAATTCTGGAAAAAATCATCCCCAAATGAAGTACAGTGTGGTTCCATGGATGGCACCCAAGAGCATTAAAAGGGCATTAAAAAGAAAACATGTAATCTGAATCTGAATAAAGGCTGTTTTTCAGTTAATACTAATGTATCAATGTGAGTTCAATTCCCAGTTCCAAAAAGAAAAAAACTCACCAATGTTGGCTTTAGTATTGACAAATGTTCTATGGTTCTATACAATGCTAACATTAGCAGAAACTGGGTGATAAAGGGACTATATTTTCTTTACAACTTTTCTCTAAGACTAAAGTTATTCTAAAATAAAAGTTTATGCCAGGCATGTTGGCACATACCTGCAATCCCAGTGCTCAGGAGGCTGAGACAAGTGAGTTCTAGGATATCCTGGGCTACACAGTAGTTCGAAGCCAGCCAGATTACATGGCAAGGCCCAATTTTTAAAAAAAAAAATGCGGGGGGGGGGTACTGGGGATTTAGCTCAGTGGCATAAGCGCCTGCCTTGTAAGCAGGCAGTCGTAAGTTCGATCCCTGGTACCGATAAAAACGAAAAAGATTAAAAAAAAAAAAAGCTTACTATAAACTTTTTAAAAAACAAAAAACAAAAAAAAAAAACCCCTCGCCTTTTTTGTGTGCTGACACATCCCTATAATTCTAGCTACTTGGGAGGCTGAGGCAGGACAGAAAGTTCCAGGCCAGCCTGGACAATTTAAGCAGTCTGTCTCAAAATAAAAAGTGGTAGGGGGAGTACCATACCTGCCTGGCAAGCACAAGGTTGCGTTCAATTCCTGGTACCAAAAAAAAAAAAAAGAAAGGTGTGCTCAATTGTATACTTGTATTAGCATATTAGCATATCATATAGCTTCCATTCCTAGTGAGGGAGAAGGGGAAATCATGCTTAAGTTGCTGGTTTAGGCACCTGGGAGCCAAGTTAAATTCCTCAAGATGGAACATTATAGAGAAGGTAGGCAAATGCTAAGTCTCAGCTTTAGACATGTTTGATGTCCCTAAGGGTTGGAGGTTGAGGTATGTAAAGCTGATTTGGAGCTCAGAAAGAGATTTTTGGTAGAGAAAAGTGAGCCAAAGTGATTTGTAGGCTTGCCTGGGAGTGCTCCTAGGACACTTAAAGTGATCTGGGTTGGGGGAGTACCAGGAATGGAACTCAGGACCTTCCACTTGTCAGGCAGGCACTGTGCTATTAAGCTATATCCCTAGCCAAGACGAAACCCTCTTTCATTCTGAGTAAGGCCTGGATGCAAATAAATTTACCA